GTGATGCCGCTGAAGCGACGCTTCAGAACGCAGCCCTGGCAATCCTCGTTCATTTAAAACCAAGGTCCACGTGCATCGGCTCTGGTCAAAATGCGGGCAGGCACTGCAGCGTCGAAGCAAGCAACAAATTCGTAGTCCGGAGATAAGAGGGTGAAACGCTCATAACGCTGTCGTGTGGGCCTGTGCAGTGCAGTACGTCGTAAGATCTGCAAACAGAAAGCTGCCATATGGAAGAACAAACCGTTTGTGGTGTGCTGCGCGTGCCATCTGCATCTGCAATCCTGGCCAAAATGCCACTAAACCCTTTAGGCGGAATATAATGCGTGCGGCATAATGCCGTCACGCTCGCATAAACAGCTTACGACTTTCGACCAAATGGTGTAAGTCTCAAATGGCCACATTCTGCACCAGAGCGTTGGAGGGAAAACGGAAACACAGTCGACGAAGACCCGCTGCTGACACACAAAGACGCATCACGCTGTGAGAAAGCACACATGCTTCGTGATACTGCCGTGGGAAGCAAAAGACGCACGCTCTGAAGGCGCCAAACACGACCCGTGTTGAATCTGTCTCTGTTCCCTAGCGCCATCACGCGCTACTTGAAAACAACAAATGAAACGCATGCCAAGCTCTGCCCAACCTGACTGCTGCAACACACCAATAACAATGCGAAGCCACCTGCTGTTACCGAGCTCTCTCCTCAAACGCCACGCGAGGCAGCATTGTGAAATACGTCGAAGGTACAGATACGCTTCAGTACGCCACTTCAGTATCTTTCGCACAGTGAATGCATAGGGAATCAGGAGCCATCAAACCAAGGCATAAAACCGTAGTGGCAAGCACCATCAAGATGATATTTATTACACACTCTCTGAACGTGCAACGCCGTTAGCACCTTCTAGCGGCATTCAGCCACTTCGTCTATTAGCCGATGTGCCATTCGATGCAGTATTTTAACTGCGTACACGCCACAAACGCATGATTCTTAACGCGGCGTTAGTGTACTTCAATCAAACTAAAAATACACGATGCGACGCCCAGCTGAGAGACTGCCAGTCAAGCATGAATGCGGTACGAAAAACAACTGCCACCAGACAAAATGTTCCCGCAAAAGCGGAGCAGCACAGGCCCAACAAAATCTGGTAAACGACTGGTGCGCCTCGTCCCAGGACATGTTCTTCTGCACCAACGCGTCGCAAGCGCTCGCTGAAGACACCACTCTAGCGCGACTTCCCATCCGCCAATTATTCAATGCAGTTGCACATGTCCTGCACCAAGAGTTCCAATATATCTCGCTGCAACCACTCAGACAACCAACACTGCTGATGACTGAATGTACGAGGCGCTGAATCTAATTGAGCTAAGTGTCATGCCGTCATGCCTCTGCAGTGTCTCCCTATGGCCCAGATCGCACGAACTGAATTCCGTTACAGACAATGTCGTGAACGCTTGTGAAGGTCTTTCGCTCTTCTGCAAAATTTGTAGTGAACGGCTCCATTGCAGGCCGCACCCTCAAGATGTGCGCGCAAATATAATCGTTGCAAACGAATATATTTGCGCGCACATTTTCAGCGAGGCCCGGGACTGTTGACACGCCCACCCCCTAACATACCACGACCCTAGACTAGCTTGAAAGTGCTACGTGCCGCATGGTCTACGCTGACACCAAACCGCCGATCCAGCAGTTCAAACAACGAAACTGCCAACAGGAGACACAAGAATCGATGCCCAAACCAACTCAGTTAGGCGAACCCCTCCGTAGCTTTCGAAGCAGCCACGCAGTGCGGGATTTTCAAGGCCATTCACATGCTGCAGCGTACTCCCTGCGAGCTCACAAGGCCAGCGCTGTCGTGTGCAGGCAGAATTGAAGAAACAGGCGCTCAGCTCTTTCGTCCTTCTCCAAAAACCACAACTGGTATGCCGAACGCAGGAGGAGGAGTACGAGAAAGCTGTGCAAGAATGATATTATCGCGAGTGTGGCATTCGTGGAAACGCCAGCACGTGTGTATTTGTGCTATTAGGTGAACTGAGGAATTTCCGGATTTACGTAAGCCACGCACCGTTACAGGACTCTTTGGGTCTTTGCCCAAAGAAAAAGGTAATTTTGGTTTTGCCTGTGCCCGTTAGAGTCTGCTGACTTGCCACTCAAACAACAGCAGGCATTAAACGCACTTTCTTCTAAATAAATCTCTGCAGCCTACGTTGCACAATTTACTTTGATTTGGGCAGCCAGCGTATAATGCAACACCTGTGAAAAAGTGCTCCACCATCTAACGAGCCAGTAAGGTATCACCGTGTGAGCTGTGGCAATCTATGCGGGCCAATCCAACCCTACCTGACTCCACCTAAATGTATCAAGAGCTCACATGTGTCCCAGTTCACGCATAAACAGTAAACCACTAGCTAACTGGTCCCAAGACGCCGAAGCGCCCGAAAGTTTAGCTCTACTGCGCGCACGCGTCGTCGACCGCCTAAATGCTTAGCGCGTCCATGGCAGTATTTCCCGTTGTGTAGGTTATCTCCGCAATAATATTCAAGCATCGCTCCAGCTGCAATCGCGCACATTGTACATTTATGCCTCAGCAATTGACACTAAAAAGGAAACCTACTTGCTCAAGGTTACTCGCTGCGCTAAACGCATGCTATTCTTCTGTGTTCACCAGTGTTCAATGATAAAGGCTGCTCCTGCCATAAAACGCACTCCCTGAGAGCACACAGAAGCAAATCCGTGCTCTGCCGATAATAATTCAGCACCATTTATATGGCTATCTCGCAATCGAAACAGCCGCCACTAATGTGTATGCTGTATGAGGAGGCAAGGGGATTGCTATGCAGAAGAAGTCACCAGAGCAATGTGATAAATGGGAAAAATACGAGTGAAGTCCTTGCTGTGGAGTTGGCTGAACTGGACAAATTTGGGTTTTATACTATCTCTACAGAACTCGGCAGGACGTTTGGGCTACTTGATAAAAGAAAGCAGCAAGAAGTTGGCTTCAGTTAGCCCGCACGAAAATTCGCCAACGTGACACTCAGTAGCAGACATTAAACATACTTCCTGCTAGATTTCCGCCGCCTGCATTCCACACTGTGCTTTGGACAGCCACAGGGCCCTCAAAGAATCCAAAATGTGGAACCTGTGAACACCATTTTATCATGCAACATATCAGCAGGAGCTCCGAACCCTCAACCGTGGGAGGTGTGGCAATACATGCAGAGTGGCAATCCAACCCGATGAAACTCTACCGAAAGAAACCGCAGCTAATCGTTTTTCCTTTTCGCGTACGTATGAAGTGTCCACCATTATCCCAACGCGTGCATGTAGACTAGAAGGATGCAGCTCCAATGTTCCCAATACGCTGAGTTGTCCAATAGACTAGCGACAATCTGCGAATGCATCACCCACGGCATGACTAGGCGCTGCGTCCATATCATTGCCCAAAATGACTGCCAGACATAAATGGAGTGATGCTCACACTTCTCTCACTTTTCCCGACACAGTCACGCATTCTCAATTTGTTGGCGATGTTCTTACCATGCGGCCAACCTCATCAAAGAACGCGATAGCAACGTAAGCGTCGATGTATCCAATGTCACATTATCTGCGGCGCGAAAATAGGGGCCCGTCCCGCGACAGCACTTTGGAAGTCGGTGTATTCATTAGTTAAATACACGCTGGCAGTGGCTCGTGAGGGACATGGCAGCGCACAGTCTGAGAACTCGAACCCTATTCGTGAGCCCATGACGTTCTTGCACACATCACCACACGTGACCTCTGCTGTTGGTCTCTCCCAAAATAATACCGATACACATTCCCGAAAAGTAAAAAATATTGCTCTCGTCCAACGGCACGTTAACTAGCCTGCCAATGCTGTAGGGTTTCCCACCACCCAGCACACAAACATGACCACTATGTGGAGGTAAGTGCCACGCAAACCCACTGAAACAAACTAAACCACAGTCCGTCGTCTATGACGTATGCAACAAAGGCCCTCAGCTGTCTTTCACAAAACACACATACGCCCGCAAGGCCTTCATCCTCAGTGACACCACAATGCAAGGAACAACCGCTGCTCTCCTTCACACCCTAAATGAGCGCCCAAAACAAGTAAGACGCGCGTTTGACGCTTCTTTCATAAAACGCTTCCTGCGATGTAAACGTCCTACTGGATGACACTCCAACAAGCCTCGGAGCTGCTCTATTGTCGAATGTGCGTCGCAAACCCTGGACGCCAGTGCAAACCCCCGAAATGCACATGCATACAAGACACTGCACAACGCTTCTGCGTATGCATTGCTTACACTATCCCTGAAAAATATCCAACATAATCTAAATGCCAGCACACCACAAAAGTAGCACGAAATGCAGCCACAAATTCGTCCGATGCCTAGCGCTGTAAGCAACGACGTTCAGGAGGAGTTTGCTCTGCAAACTGCGCCGATTCAACGCAACGCCAGCAGCCTCTCAACGGAGCCAGATTATCGCTTAGTTGCCCAATGACGCTGAACGTCCCAGCACAGAGCTTTTTCTCTACCGCAACCACGTCGCTGAAGCATGTATGACACTTCTGATGGCGACTCACTACGCCATAACAAGTGTTTTGACAGCATCGGGAGTGGTTTGTAGCAAAGAGTGTCAACCTCCTCATTGCCTTCTCTGGGCAGTTTACTGCACTGCACGGAACAGAGGATCCGCTGGTGCCTGAATTCCTTTCCACGTCGCCGACGCATCCAATGACACATCGTCCGCAGCGCGAAGATTTTCGGTCCGTACCGCGGCAGCACTTTAGTCGTTGTATTCGTTGGAGTTAAATGGAATGTGAAAGAAGAGGCGGAACAGAGAAAAGGAAAAGTTAGAACGTTCGCAGGCTTGCTTGGAAGAAGCAACTGCAGTAACTTTAACACAAAAAAATTTAATCAAATGCATTTAAGAAGCCGCAGGAGCTCTGTCGCATTCAAGAAATCAAGTGCAGTAGAAGAAGAAACTCGAGGGCCAGAAACCGCAGCAAACACGCCGAGCTGCAGCCGCACCAGCAGTAGAAGGAGGAAACAGACGGCAGTAGAAGCAGGGAAAAAGCAGCAGCAAACAGCAGGAAAGGAGTGAAAGTGAGAGCCAGCACTAGCAGCAGCAGCAGCAAAGCAATAAGGTATGGAACGTAATAACGCGTCCGTGCAGCAAGAAAGGACCTGAAGGCTTGGCGGACCCAAAGGGCTCCACGCTGGCAGTGGACTCGTGAGGCACACCCAACGCACAGTCTGAGAATGCAAACAGTGTTCGTGAGTCCATGGCGTTTCTGTACATATCACACATCAATACACGGGACCCCTGCAGCTCGCCCCTCTACAAACACTACCCACCTACACTTTGGAAAAGTATAAAATGCCATTGTCGTTGAGCGCCCGCATTCTGGAGTGCAGCTTTCCAAAGGACCAAAAAATCATCCACGAAACTCTGACTCCTCTCACACCGCAAATACGCATGGCAACAAAGCCTTTGCTCAAAAACCCAAACACCGCGTGTATCACCAGGCTGCACACATTCTTACCAGCAATGCGGTAGTTCACATAATATTTGGCAACGCCAAACCAGATCACATGCAGTGATCACATGCAGTGAAGATCCGGGGATGTCGCCCAACGGCAAACCAATCAGACGCCAACTATCCAGCGCGCAAAGAACTAGCGTCAAACGCACATCCTTTGGGATGTCGGCGCCCCATCCAACAACAATCATATTCAACACAGCGTCCAACCTATGCACCTAACCAACGCCGCGAAATTCTTCGTCGCCATCCAGCACACCACACTGCAGCAAAGCTTTTCAGCAGACAACGCTTCATCAGCACAGTAGAATCCTCCATTCACATAAACATCCTAATTCCCGGTCTGTAGAGAAACACGGAGAAGATGATTTCGTGGGACCAATCGTCGCTACTCCCCTTTTCTTCTGTGCCACGTTAAAGTACCGTGTAACATACTCCCTGCACACGCAGACGCACACGCGCAAACAAACACACACACGCATACGCACACACGCATTCCACGTCACTGCAATCATTCCAACCGACATCGCAGTAGTTCACTTCCAATTGAGCAACGCCAAACCACATTCAATGCAGTGAAGATCCATGGACGTCACCTAACGGCAAATCATTCGCAAAGCAGCTACCTAGCCTCAAACACACTTCCTACGAGATAACGACTCCCCATTCAGCAGATGTCATTTTCAGGGCAGCGTTCCACGCATCTACCAAGCGAAAACGCCTCGAAACCCTTCATCGTACTGATCAACAACAGCAGCTTACCTTTTTTCTGCCATTCGACGCATCAGACGGGGAGAGTGCCACATTCTTGTTTTACTGGGACTCTGAGAAAACTGGTTTGTTCCCAGAATAGCTGTGGTTCAACGCGGCCTCTGCTGGGATGCGGCTAACATAACGTTTGAGTGGCTGCATTGGGTGAGTAGACACCCCCGCACTGGCGTATCTTATTCTGCTTTGCTTCCATCTCCCTATCACTGGGGATGTTTACAGTGCTTGCGCATCAAATGATTTGAAGATGGGCAAAGGCAATGACTATCAAATTCACGGTAAAACCCGGATACCTTTGTTATCGATGAGTCCCATACGAGCATAGACAGCGTAAGCGATGATGTGCGGATGGGGATTGTAAAGGACAAGCGACTGCTCGTGTTCTCTGAAAAGCGTCTTCTGTTGAACACATTGGCATTTTAACACGGCAAACTAACCAGCTGGAGATGCAGGAATCCTGTTTTAAGCCTGTGCGTGCTCAAGGTTTTTCACTACAGTGCAGCTGCACTGAACCATGTCTCACTTGGCAGCATGCTTCACACGAAAGGAGGAGCCGCAGCCATCATGAAACCAACGCTCGGCAATACTGCAAAATACTGGAAACGAATCTATGCAGAGACGAGACTTGGAATCTAGAATAAGCAAAACGCATACTGTAGCATTTCGTGTAGTTGTTGACAAGTCCTTTCAAATCACATGCGCTCGACGCACTCCCTAAAGGCTCAGAAAGCATGTTCAGCGCCATTGTGCAGAGCAATTACTGACAAACGCTCAGATATCACCAAACATCACTTAAAAGGCTGTCCTCTATGTGCAGTGAACTCGCATTCCGTTGTGCAGCATTCTACAACTGACGCAGAGCAACAGGCCTAGAAATGTCATGGAATGAACACAGCTTTGCACATGCGCGCCGATCCAGCTCATTGTTTTAACTGTCTAAAATTTCACTGGCAAACAGCCAAGAAGACAGGAGGATGACGAAAATATTGCGACAAAAAGTTTCAACTCAGTTCCTCAACACCTGCACGTGCTTCGACGAACAAAGCCATACTAGGTTGTACCGAGCAGCAGTTCCAGTACAGTAACCAAAGACACACTCATTCGTTATAGAAGCAATGCCTCTATCACAACTCATGTGGCAACTGAAGCGCACGTTCTTTTGCGGTTAGGGCGCTTCCCTAACGTCACTTTTAATGAAACTGCAGAGACTTCGCTCACGCACAAAACGTCACACAGTATAGCGAACAGAACTGGGGGCAGAAGCAGCCATCTTATAGGCACAATCTATCAGTCCTTGAAATTCGTGATGGTCTCATAAAGTATACTCTTTGAGTCTGACGAAAAACAACGGGCAGCGTACGGTGATATCACTGGGAGCAAGTCTACATCGTAGCAAACTATCTGCATTCCCGTAAGACTACAGGCAATTAATTATGCATCTTTGCATTCTAAGTCACCTCTCATCTTGTTTGGCACAATTGCGTGCACATATGCAGTCACACGGGTCCCTGTGTTAGCCGTGTTAGGTACGCTGCCTCCACGTCAGATCCATAGAGTTACGAACTTCCTGCAAGGCAAGTGTCGCAGTGTCAGCCAATCTTTTGTTTAGCAGCAGCGTTACCCTCGATGCATCTCTCCGTGCATGCTCCAAAACAGTTGGGTTTTGTATTGCAGCAAAAGACACGCAGCAACAAAAACTTCTATCTAACGGTACCAGTACCACTTGAAAGGATTGGTAAGGCGGCTGAGCAATGATGCTGTTTCGTGAATGGAACCGAATAGCTTCAACTAGAGCAGCACAGTCTGTCTGTGGGAGCTGCACTTTCATCGACGTCCATCGACACAACAAAAACATAACCAATGGCAGAAGATTCCCTTCACTTTAAAACAATCAGGTCTTTATACTATTTGTCGATCGGCAGGAACACAGTGAAGCTGCTGCTTACCTGCTGTCCATCCAAATATGCGTCTCTGTCAGCGTACCTAGGGTCACATCATATGACTGCTGCTGCAGCAAGCAGCAGCAGCAGCTGCTGCTGCTGCTGCTGCTCGTCTCTGTCAGCGTACCTAGGGTCACATCATATGACTGCTGCTGCAGCAAGCAGCAGCAGCAGCTGCTGCTGCTGCTGCTGCTGCTGGTTAGGCCTGATTGGCCTAACCAGTTGACTTTGACCTCCACAAGCCATATATTTTACATTTTTGTCGGGGCAGAATGTGGAGAGAAAAGCTTTGCATCTTAACAAGCAAGCAAAATTTAACTGGTTGATCCCTGGACTGTTTATCTAGTCCTGCTTCAATGTAAGGCTCGTAGTGTTATGACTTTTACTTCTTTTCCCTTTACTGGTGTCCAGCTACGCTGAAGCAAATCCATGCGTACAGTATGTCTTAAATGAGGGCCCTTCGACTGTGAATTGTACATACACTCCAATGGCATCATACATATGATTCTGTGCACGGTATTAGCGGGCTCACACACTGAAAATCGGCATATAGCAACATAGGATATGCCAGTTTAACCCCAGGGACTGATTCTGTAAACACTGAACACCTAACAGTGAAGTCACCAACGGTGCCACTAATTGTGAGTCAGGCACGCGATCCTAGACAGTCTCTCTGGCTAATGGGGCAGCGAATGTTTCTAGTTGCAAGTCTTGATTCTGGTAGAAACGCTCAGGGCGACAGAGGTGCCGCATCGACGCCATACCTATGGATGAAATTTCTTCTGATGGTGTGTGCACTCCACAATAAGAACAATGCGAGGCCAGTGCATCAGAATCAAGACTTGCAACTAGAAACATTCGCTGTGACTTTTCAGATCCCCGCAACAGATTTCTATGCTCACAAACTGGTATTCGCACACGAGGAATTTTCAGAATAAAGGGATATAGCGCGTGAAAGTCATCTCAATGAAACTGCTTCGGCAACGCAGTAAAGCCCTTTAAGAAGAGCATCGGTGTACAATTACTAATGAACGGGATCGCGTAGACCGAAACCACGGTGTTGTTAGACAGTGAAGCAAACTTCCACGGATTTTCAGCAATCACGAGCCACAAGCCCCTACGTAGCGATTTGTTTTTGGCGTTCCACTGTTTTCCTGTGCCTGAACTGTTGCTGTGATTCACATCGGTTATCAGGCAAAATGTGGGGGAAGGTCGACTGCCCTTCCAGATCGCCACTGTTGTCGAAAACGCTATCAATTCGAAAAAGGAAACTACGTGAAATACTTGCCGCAGAGAGAATAAAATGCTTTCTGTAAATAACGTTGTTCTCATGTATTGTTCCAAATGAAACTTAGTTCCTGTATGAATATCCAGCTGCATACAGGTAACAACCGTTACAAGGGCAAGTTTCATTTAGTTCATTGTATTCGGAAGGGAGCCGCAAGAGTGCCGTTTGAGGAACGAAACGTCCGTCCCTCACTCGAAAATTCAC